ATGCCAACTTCAAGTAAACCCACCGCAGGCACCAGCTAATCAGAAAACTGAATTAACACGTCCGAAATTGCAATGATCAACACGGGAATTATTTGAATCTTAAATCAACAAGAATGATAAGAAGCCGCGATTGATGATTAATAAAATTTTTATGCCGTGGTCAGGCATGAATTAGATCACATTAGAGACATGCAAGGTATCATCACAGAGTAGAGCTTACCAAAAAGATTCTTATTAAGCCACCAGAGAATCACAGCAAGGTATTGACGTAATTTGGAGATGGCGCCAAAAGTGAATAGCAATGGCTTTATCAAGAGAGGGATTAGGGTGCATTTAAATGGGCTACAGTGAATTCCCGCAAAAAAGATCTTTAAGAATTCCAAGAACCTACAGTTGTCCATTCTCAGATTAAGAATTTGGTATTTAAGAACCGCATTCTGTTGGGGTTACCACCGTAAGAACTGGTTCTCACAGCTACCATCCCCCGCAGGTCGCTGAAGATAATTCCCAACTCAAGTTCTGCTAGCGCGATTCACTATTTGATTAATAACAAGCTGAATTGACATTTGAATTGCTGACACCTTTGCAAGCCCTTCTTTCCCGTTGTGTTATTGATGATGCGATGTGATGCCGTCAACCGCATTCGCGTGTATAGTCAGCAAGGCAGATACACAATATTGCTAACTTATGCATTAACTCGAAGCAGGACCTCTGATAAGTCTTCTAAAACCGAGAGTTTCACTCCATGCTCTCAGTGTGCCTATCAAAATACAGGAAATCTGAATCATAATTTGACTCTTGTCGATAATTATTTGCTGATACCATACCAGCCTCGCTTTCAATGTGATATCCCATTCAAGACTCGCTTTCAATATGATATTCTGTAACCAGGGTTTCATTTCTGTATACATTATTTCAATGCTTTTTGTTTTTGATAACTATTTATTCCTGCTATTAAACTTTACTTTCTTTCTTGTCTTAAAGTACAAGTTACAATGCTCTTTGCATACATGTAGGCAAACTTTGAACTATTACATCAGTTCGTAATGTGACAAAGGACTTTGTAACATTAAACAGGTTCCATAGAGCTTTTTTAGCATTTCTGTAGTTCAATCTAATGGCTGCTTTTTATATACATTCGAGTATTTCATTTTGTATCTTTTTTAGTCTCTTTAGAATCACTTTTTTCTTAGTAGTATATAAGGAACACCGCAACGCGACGAGAAAAAACGACAAAAACACACAAATCAGTGATTGCTGATATTTTGCCCCGGCATACGAGGCTTCATCAGAGCAAGAGTAAACGGACTAAAAATTTACAAATCTCAAAGAGGCGATGATGGTGTCGGATTGGTTGATGTGGAATGTTCTTGGCCTAGTCCTGTATTCGCACACCTTTTTCTTACCAGGCTCTAGAATAATGTATATTCTTTCTTCTGCTGTTGAGGCGTATCTTTTGGAACCTTACTAAGGAATGAAAACCATTCTTTCCTGTTCTGGGCGTGATAACTGAGTTTCCTCCTCCAACTTTCTACGTTTTGATCAACAATGTGCCGTTTTCTGAACTCAGCTTCTTTCTTTACCTTTTTTTGTTATCAACCAAGCTTGCTATATCTAGTACGAAACGCGGTAAAAAGTATAGAGAGAAAAAACTAGACAGTGGCAGAATGTTATTGAAGAATATGCCTCTGTAGCAGCGATATTTCTGACTAATATATTGAGCACTGAAGAAGGCCTCTATATTTGGACGACATGGTGACAAAAATTCCTAAGAACCAAATAATACCCTTTATATTAGCCTGGGCACCAGATCATCAAAAGAGTAGAAAGAGGGAAAGGGACGCCTCTTGTTCTACCTTTTACTTTTATGTCATTATTGCATGGCGTAAAAGGCTTTGGTACCCAGGGAAAGGCTCTGAGCCAATTGTTCCTGCCATTCTCGATGTTTTTGCACCTAACTGTTAGGGTGCTATTTTAACGCCAATTTGCAGTCCTACGTCCTATTTTCTCAGTACCTTGTAAATATTTTTCCTTTTCCTTGCACCTCTGGTCAAGTTATTAGCTAGCAGTTACACTGTTTCTTTTAGAATTACATCGGTTTGTTTTCAATTTACTCTCGAAACGTCTTGTTAAGACAGACACAAGTTTGCACGCTCCATCGATAAGATTATATCCAACAACCTGCTGTCAGTCCACCAGCTTTTCACGGAGTTCTGTTGCTCATGGCTTTGCTAACAATCTTCATTCACAATCGTATTCAAGGGCTGGCCATTACGGTTGTATTTATCTAAATACCTTCATGTGGCTGCAAACACATTTTGTTCTCCAGCCTTTCATATCGTATATAAGGCGGGACTCACAAACTTCTGCTGATGTATATACATGGCAGTGAAATTTGTTTTTAATATGCAATTCATGGTTAGGTTCTGTCATGTGTACATCCCTGAGCTTTCGCATTCAATGTCCATGAAGTCTTCGCCCAAGTGACGCCGGACTCATACCATTTGTCATATACAATCTAGCTAAAATGCATTATACCGTGGTATCTCTTACAAGATACCACGACAAAACAAGAAATTATTAAAGTATTTTTCAAATTTGAAATGTTTTTCGGTTTGCATTGAGAATCACGTGATGTTCTGCGATATTCTTTTATCCACGAGAAATGATAGTCACAGGGAAACCATGAAATGTTATCATTAGTTCTCGCTCAGTGGTATAATGTGTGAGGTGAATGAAAATGAAAGAAAATCAACTACCAACAAAGGGCTGTACGCACTCCGGCCTGCAGCCTAACGCCACTTGATAATGAATGTCGCCTCTTATAAATAGAAATTCAACTTTATGAAGTAGAAAAATAAAACTGTGTCCATTGTTATCGCTAAAATATTATTTCCTATATTATAAGCAAAAGAAAGAAACTAAATTGCAATATGTTGGATCAATTCAAAGGTTGCAGTATCCTTTTTACGGACGCCTTTTTGCAAAAGATTTCATCTTGTTCCCAATCGCAATCAACAAAGCAACTTTTTCACAATGCGAGTAGAACATTTTCATATTCTCAAGTTTCATGCAATGTTTCCCTTTTTTATTTCAGTATATTCAACCCTTCTCTTTTTTCTTGCATTCGATTCATACAAAGAACATGATTTTGCAAAAAAAGTCGGCTAGCGGACGAGGCTCTGTATATGAGAGGTCCTTGCATAAAGAACGGTATATGTAAGTTTAAGGTCTAACCGGAATCGAAAGTAGAAGCATTCGGGATTTCTTTTAGAAGAAACATAGTTGTTCTTAGCTAGTAGAATGCGTCCTAATCGTAGGTCAAACAAAGGCTCGTCCTCAAGTTTCCTACGCAAAAGTCAAGAGCACAAACAACTCAACTACTTTGTAGCCAGTTCATAGTTAAAAACAAAACCCCTCTCAACCGTTTTTGCTATTCAGTACCACTTGATTTATAAGTCTCTGTACGCCCCTTAAGGGCGTTTTGTGACGTCATTCTCATGTTTCAAAATAGAGTATAAAAAGTCATATAACAAACTTTCTATATCCGACATGTATTCTGAGGGCACCTATCTTGTCACTACCTTTGTGCGATTTGTTTTTCATAAACAAATTATATTCACAGACATCTGTTTACAACGATGCATGTTGTTTACTTGTTTTTTGTATACATCAAGTAAAATAAACTCTAAAAAGACATAACCAGTTACATCAAACGGTTGCGGGGCCGGCAATTCAAGGTCGGGAGCCGCCATATCTCCCGCCATCGTCGACCTTGAGCCTCAGCTTTACTGGTGGCAGGCTTTCAGGGGGACTACTGCAGTAAATGTTCCTGAAATTGCTCGAGAAAGTCAGATAATTGGGTAACTGATCACAATTTTAGGTATAAGAAAACCTATTTTGAAAAGTGATTATAAATATCTGGAAATTTTCTTTCATTGAGGTATTTCTATGAAGAACAGAAGCTCGGTGTTCTTCAAAAAGACAGCTTCGCTCCCTTGCTGCTTAATTAATTTCAATGCACACAAAAATTTATTGATTGCTAGAAGTCAAAATGTGTATTTGCACGGAAATCTAAGAGATTATTGAGTTAATTTAGGTTTGAGCAATTATCAACAATGTTAAAATGTATGACGCCATGCAAACGTCCCAGATACATCTAGATTTTCTTTGCTGTGAGGGTTTAGCGATGGAGCGTGTTCGTGTTGTCGTTCCTGACATAACGCACGTAAACCATTGTTCACGAAATATCAGGATCTGAACAATTTCGTATCGATTTCTTTGGCAAACTATTGCTATATCTTAGAAAATAACGACTTATGGTGTGTTTACTCCTTCGCAGCTGTACAGCCAAATAAAATCACCTGTGCAAACATGCCCATCCAAAACAACCGACATCTCACTGCCATCCATGCCTCGCTCT